GGAGACTAAGGTGTATCTGATATAGGCCATGGTCTTTGCTATCACTTGTTATGCATTAAAGAGTTTGACAATGACTAAGGAAAATAGTGATAGTAGGAGAATTGATGCCTTTGAGCTGTAGTGCTGGAGAAGAGCACTGAATGTAATATGGATTGCTAGGAAAACAAACAGAGTGATCCTGGAAAGAGTTAAACCGGGTGGCTCCTAGGAGGCAAGGATTCTGAGGTTCCATCTAACATACTTTGGACATGTTGTAAGGAGGGACCTTGGAGAGGGACATCATGCTTGGTAGGGTGGAGGGACAGTGCAGGAGGGAAAGGCTCTCTATGAGGTGGATTGATTCAGTGACTGGGGTAATCAGGATGGATGTATCAGAGAGAGTTACATTGGCACAGGACAGAGCGGAGTTTAGGGCTGTTGTACATAGGGTCGCTATGAGACACAAGGGACTCAACGGCACATAACAACAACAACAACATGTGTCCTGTGAGGGTCTGTCTTCCAGCTCACTGCCTTTCTGTTCTATCTCTTCAGTTCTACATTTTTTTTTATTTTTGAGCAGTTTTATTGGTATAAAATTTATATACTATGAATAATTAAAGAACAGATTCTTTTGAGTTGTGGTGCTGGAGAAGAGTCTTGAACATACCATGGACTGCTAAGAAAATAAATTGGCCTGTCTTAGAGAGGGTAAAACCAAGTATTTCCTTGGAGGCTAGGATTTTGAAACTTTGCCTCAGTTATTTTTGGCACCTGGCCAGGAGAGATTGGTCCTTGAAGAAGGACATCGTACTTGGAAGAGGGAGACCCCTGATGAGATGAACTGATAGTGTAACTGGGACAATGGGGATTGGTATGTCAGAATTAGTGAGACTGGCTCAGGACAGGGCAGTGTTCTGAGCTGCTGTACATAGGGTCACCCTACATCACAGGCGACTCAATGACACATAACAACAATAACATACTATGACTATTTTTGGAAGCAGGAGTAGTATCCACTTCCTACATAACATGCCTCTGGAAACTCTATGAACTTTGATAAATTTCTGTAGTTGTAGAGGGACTTCAGACCTTTTGTTCATAGGGTCTCTAAGAATCATGCTTGACTCGAAGGCAATCGACAATAACACATAAGGGGGTACCCTTTTGAAGTACACAACTCAGTAATTTGTAATGCATGAATGGTATTGTACAAATATCATCACTATCTAATTTTGGAAAGTAGATGTTGTCTCTACGTAGAATTCTATACCTATTAACAGTCACTTCCTACTTATCTGTCTCAGTCATTGGCAATCAGTAATGCACTTTATGTTTTATGAATTTCCCTATTGTGGATATTTCTTACAAATAGAACATGTGGTCTTTATTTGCATGACAACATTCCAGAATAAGAGTTGCATATCAAAGTGGGCTGGGGCGGGGGAGGGAAGAATTTATGCAACGATGAAAGAATCTTTAAAGAGAAAAGCAAACTGGGAGGAGGAGGAGAGGAATATGTGCAAAAATGAATGAATGGAAATCCAAATTTTCTGTAAACTTTCATTAAAATACCAATTAAAAAATTGTTAAATGTTAAACACAGAAATAGCATATGACCCAAGAAATCCACTTTTACATATATATCTAAGAGAGCTGAATTAAAAACATATATTCAAACAGAACTTGCACACAAATAACATAACAGGAAAAAAAAATAACATAACAGGATTATTTATCATCACCAAAAACTAGAGAAAACTCCAGTGTTGATCAATGGGTGAATGGATAAACAAAAAATGATATAGCAATGTAATATTATTCAGCCATAAAACCCAAATAAGTACTGATACATACTACAACATGTGTGGACCTTAAAAATATCAGGCCAAATGAAACAATTCCGTCTTCAAAGACCACATATTACAGCTCTACTTTTTGTCATACCAGTGTGTTGAACACTTCTACCATTTCAGTCTTAATATTCTGGATTGCATTATCATGTTATTTCCATAACTGCATTGGCTGTACCCTATCTGTATTTTGGTGATTTTTTTTTAAAGTTCTTGTACCTCTTTATCTATTTTATAAATTCTTTCTTCCATCTTTTGCATTTTCTTTCATAGCTGTTCAAGTTGCTCCTCACCAATGTATTTCTCCTGGATTGCTGTCTTTGGGCTATTTGCTGTCTTAATGGCTTCCATTGTTTAGTCTATCATTTGCATCTGTCACTTGTCAAAGAACTTTACATCAACGTATTTCTTCTGGTTCTCTATCTGGGGTATTAATTAGGTGTGCTTTATTAGAAGAAGGGTTATTTCATTTTTTTTTCATGATGACTGAGGCAGACTGCTGTTTTCTTGACATTATGTCAGTCTTAGTAAATATTAGGTTGTTGTAACTATATAGTAAACTGGAGTATGACAATGTTTTGTGAAGGACAGGTATATCTGTGGTCCCTACTTGTGCTTGACAGCAGTGTTTAACCCAAAGTGGCATCCGCTTCTGAAACACCATGCCTCTGAAAACTCTATGAACTTTGATGAATGTCTATAGTTATAAAAAGGCTTCTGGTTGTTTGTTCAGAGTCACTATGAGTCATGTTTGACTCGAAGGCAATCAACACCAACACCAAAAACTTGAATGACAGAACAGGGAAATCTGTTGCCTTCCAGAAACTGTGGCTTAGTCTGCCTGGGCCTGCTTTTTCCACTTGAGCTTAAGGAATCTCACGTGATGTACTTAGACAACAGTGTTTTACCCACAATAACCGAGTGGCAGAATAGGGAAGTCTGTTCCCTTCCACAAACCATGTCTTGGCCCAGATTGGTCTGGCCCAGCCCCTTCTGCTTGATATTAAGGGATACCATGTGTTATAGATAGACAGCAGATTTTCACTCAAAGTACCTGTGATATTGGTGCTCCTGGCGTTGAACAGTGTAAGTGGCAGCTGGGTGGTCTCCAGGTGATAGGGCACCTGGATCTCCAGGCAGCAGGGCAGTGGTCTACGGCTTTGGGCGGGACTGTGCTTTGGGCCATGCTGAAACTTCAGCCCCTCAACCTGACAGACAGTCATTCCATTGCTGGCCAGGGTGTTAGTGTACCTGGGCTGAGCCAGAGCCTTTAGCAGACGCTGGGAAAAAGGTGTCTGGAAGACACTCCAAGACTGGCCAAGCCATACATTTTGAAATCTGTGTTATGGGTAATGTTGCACATGTAAAAAGTGATGTCTCAATAAAGATATTTATTATAATATAATATAAAAAATAAGAAATAAAATTCCCATCAATAGAACTGGTTGCATTTTAAGAATGGTACATTCATATAATGGATGATGGCACAGGATAGAGTAAGGTTTTCATCTCTGGGTCATAAGATTGTTGTGTCTTAGTTCATTTGATACCTAACAACAACAGGCTGCTCTTCAGAGGCAAGGATTTTGAAGGTTTGTCTCATATACTTTGAGCATGTTGCAAGGAGGGACCAATCCTTGGAGAAGACTTCCAGTGCTTGGAAGGACAGAGGGATAGTGCAAGAAAAGAAAACTCTGGATGAGATGGAGTGACTCAATGACTTGGGTAATGGGGTTAGGTGTGTAAGAGCCAAAGAGGTTAGCTCAGGATAGAGCAGGGTTCAGAGTTGTACATAGGGTTGCTATGAGTCAGAATAGATTTAATAGCACGTAACAAACACAGTATAACAGTATGTACAGTAAAATAGAAATCTTTACAGGTATTGATTTAGAAAGTTCCCAAGGCATATTGAGCTTGAAAAGTAAGTAAGGTGTAAAAGAGTATGTATCTATGTATTTAAAAGGAACAGTCAGCTCTCTGACCACCAGGCGGGACTCCACGATGGCGCCGAAAGATATGAAGGCCAAGAAATCAACCTGGGAGTTTAATTTGGATCTTACTCACCCAGTAGAAGATGAAATTCTTGACTCTGGGAATTTTGAACAGTTTGTACGGGAGAAGGTTAAAGTCAATGGAAAATCTGGAAATCTCGGGAATGTTGTTCACATTGAACGCGTCATGAATAAGATTACAGTTGTTTCTGAGAAACAGTTCTCCAAAAGGTATTTGAAATACCTTACTAAGAAATACCTAAAGAACAATCTCCGGGACTGGCTGCATGTGCTTGCATCTGACAAGGATATGTACCAGCTCCGTTACTTCCAGATTAGTCAAGATGAAGACGGACCTGAGTCTGAAGCCTCCTTAGAAGACTGCGTAATGGAGAGATTCACCCTGTGAGACCAAGAAACATCTTAATTTTTGGTGAATTAAAAGCATTGTACCCTTAAAAAGAAACAGTCAATAGCCCACAAGAAACTGAGTGAAGTGACATTAATAATCTAAATGTGGTGAAACTGTTACTCTAGGGCTTGTGTTGCTACTCAATGTGTGTGGGAGAAATTGCAAAATAACTAAAGAAAATAAATTTTTAGTTATAGATTAACTTCATCAAGGTGAAAAATTAGTAAAAATTCCCCACATCCCTCCAGGATGGTTTCATATGGTCAAGTGAGAGGTGTTGGCCCATTACAGCACAAAGGCCCATCATCCATGCCACTGGGATATGGTTGATGAACCTACTACTCCCATCTTCTCCCTACAAAAATATACTTTTATTTACCTGGCACAGTATACAAATACTTTTCATACTCTCCTGCTGGTTATGGAACAGACAGACTTGGGAAGAGAACTTGACAAACATATAGCCCATTGACCTCAGAATGAGAGAAAATCAAGGTCCTAATTTGTGTAGTAGCTGACCCAAAGTCTCAGGTGATATCTCACTGAGAAGTAGTGTCTCTGAAAAAGTGTAAGCCTCTCCCTAGCACATTCCTAGTATGCAGTGACTTTAGTTTAGAGAGGAGAAACTGATTTATCAGAAGTGCAACTTAACGCACAGATAAATTACAGACGTCCTTCCAATACCATTCTGACACAGTATATAAGTGTGAAGACTTCCTCCAGATTTCTGTTCACTTCTAGGAGAGTGGTCTAACAGAAGTTTCATTGGATTTATGCCAAATAAATAAAAATTAAAAAAGAAAATAAGAACTAAGTAAGTA